AATCAATATGATCAAAATCTATATGATATGCAGCTTTTACCCCAAGTTGTTTCAGGATAAGTGACAGAGTGTTTGAAACATTCCCAGTCTTTTCCTGCCTGGTGCTTTTAGATTCCCTTTGTGCTTAGACAATTTCCCCCAGAAGCAATTCCAATCTTCGAGATCAAGGATATCCAGGACAGTTAAAATCGACTGTTCAGCTTTTCTCAAATAATGTATGGCACTTATTAGAGTTTTATACAACATTCCACAGTAATGGTACGTAGTGAGTATATGATGGACTGAGCTTTTTTCCAGAACTCAACTTGCAAATCGCCCTTTAAAATTATGTAAGATTTAGCTATCAATTCCCTTTTCTTTGAAGCTTCATCTAATACATAAAAGCGTAGCTTTCCATTTAGTATCATTGAGCAGGGTGGGAAAAGAGATGCCAGTATCAGTTTGTAGGTTGAGAAGGGCATTGGCAACGTAACATTGGAGTATAGGTAAGAAGAAACCCCTTCTTTAAATTGTCTGCAACCCAAATTTGTGACACTGTTTAGTTTTCATTGCTATTTGGCACTGCAACATGATGGATATTATTTTTGTGGGATTATGCAATTATTGCAGTTGAAACCTTGCCCTGATATTCTCTCCTGTCGGGTTAGAACCAGTGTGAGCAGTCTAGTCTTTCCAACTTTGATGCTAGTTCGGGCAATCTTGCTGCAAGTGGCTGCAAACCATAAATAACTGTAGCTCCTTTCAAATACAACTCAACATTTTGCATTTTCATCCGCAAGCTTTGAGCTCCTTGTTTCATAATTTCCATTGGAAAAGTGCACGTTTTCATGAGCCATAATGCGGCCAGATTCCTCTGGACTAGAAACCTTAAGATCCTTATTTAAATAAGTGAACTTTGAAGGCATCATCCTTCTCTCGAAAGCCACTTGAAACTGAAAGCTTAGCTGAAGTCCAGTTTGTAATTGACAGCTGTTGTCTCATTAGCCAATCAAATTATTTGAACAGTTCTAACAAGGATTGTGATTGCATGGCTTATTTTAGCCTGCTTTATCAGAGAACAGAGCATGCTGATGCCACTTTTACTCATTTGGAAAATAAAGTTTGGTGTGAAAATTCAGCGAATGCATGGGGAAATTGATAGATTCTTTATCATAAAACAAATAGAGAAGCCTCGACTGTGCTCTGTTTTGTTGTAAAGTATGCAGGAGGTGGGAAAGCACTCAAGAAGTAGGGAAAACTGCTCAAGTACCTCTCATGTTTTCCCCTACACTTCTTTGTTTTTTTTTTTGTTTGTTTGTTTTATTTATTTCCACAATTACAACGATTGCAATTCTTTTTCAACAATTAAGTTACAGAAGAATGAATTAAGTTTGGTTTACAGAAGTTAACAATGACACCATATTGAATTAATTAAGAAAATAGATATTGTCAATTCTTTTCTATGTACTTATTTAACTTAACAATTTTCCTTAATAATAACGTTGTCTGACTTTAATTGTTAGTTAAAATTGTTTCCTCAAAAATCTTCCATTTTTCTTTAAACAAATTCGTTTTATTCAATTTGAAATATATGTTTTTCAGTTTCATATTTAATTACCAAAATTCTTATTAAGTGACCCAAGGAAGGTAATGTTTCTCTAATTGACAAGTCCACAAGAATGATTTTCCTAAAATTACTGTATAATTAAATAGATCCATCTCCTCAAAAGACCCAACAGTAATATTGCAATATGTAAGCGAGAGGCTTCTGCAACTCTTGATTTTACTCAAAATTTTTTCATTAACCTCATGCCAAAAAGGAATTTGAAAAAGAACAACTGAACAAAATATGGGATATGGTGTTTGTTAGCTGATGACAGAAGGGGTAGTTGGGATTAGAAACATATCCTATTTTACACAGGCGGTCATTAGTAAACAGAACAGAATTCAACACTTTGTACTGAAAGGACCGTAGATACTGCTCATTAGCAACCCTCACAGGCAAAAGAAATGCCTCTGAAACTTGCTTGTCAATCAAGGCTTAATTCTTTCTTTAGCTTAACCCATTTACTTGGCTTTTGCAATTTTTGTTTTATAAGAAAACAATAATAGTCATGACATTTTAACACTTTCAAAATCAAGAATCACGTTAAAATTGGGTATGTCGATAGGCAACTTCAAAGGAACAGATTGCCTTAGGCCTTTCCATACTAAAAAGTTGGACCTTGTCAACCCCTCACTTCTGAGAACATTAAAATACTCGATATTTGACTTACTAAAGAGCAGATCATTTGTATATTTAATATTCATATTAAAATAATGCTTATAAAAAACACTTTCACCATTGATTTTGATTTCTTTGTTGTTCCATATAATATATCTGTAAACATTATTTGGATCTACAATTTCTCCTATATCTGACCACCACACTAATAGATCCTGATAAAAAGTAGGTGAAATGTTTATTAGGTTTACATCATAATTACACTGAAGAAGAAGAAGACCCCCTTCATTATCCAAAAGATAGTTAAGGTAAGACTTCCAGAAACCTGACAAGTCCTCATCCATTATGCGCATTAGCCACCTCAACCTCAATGCTTTTATCATATGGTTTCATAATCTATCATTTTGAGGCCACCTTGCTTATAGGGTGCATGCGTTGAACTTCGAATTATTTTATCTTTCCTGTTCCTTGAAAAATGAAAAACTATAGACAGAACTTCAGACGGAATGCCAGGCTTTAATCACCAAGCTAGGGTATATTAGTTTTGGAAGAAGAATTGCCTTTATAACATTAACTTTGCCATGAATTGACAAACCCCTTGACTTTCATAAATTTATTGCATTTCTGAGTTTTTTCAGCCTTTACTTAAAATTGTTCTTGACTAGTATCTGTACATCATATGTAATGAAAATTCCTAAAAACTTAAGGACGGTGCCTACTTTTGTTAGTGCGCAAACGTTCTACGCATCACGCAACCCATGGTTTAGCTCCACAGGCACGCTGGGGCTAACATTGACGCAATCAACTACGCTATCACATACAGGACTAAAACGAAAGCAAAATTTTCCTATTGTGACCAAATCAAGTTTAATGAACCTGTACTTAAACCAGGAACAGCTGAATAACAGCATATCGCTAACGATAACCTTACGTCTTCCAGCTAAAAACCTAGCTATCATCTGTCGAAAATTATACTAAAATTCAACTGTAAACATGTACCTGCAGATGGTGTAGTGCGCACGCAAAACAAGTGCGAGATACGCAAATGTCTCACTGGGGAGGTGACAGGAAAAAATGTAACGGGCACGGTAAAAGTTCAGTAGCTATAAAAACCGCATGGTTACCCCTACATTTTATGTTATGAAATGGAAGTGGCAAGTCTATTCAACATGTGATTAGTTTCTGGTTGTGAGCAAAAGGTATTAAGACTGTATTTTAGCTGAACCAGAGGAAGGCTGTCAGATACGTTAAAAGCGCTTTTGCAACAATTTTGTTATTAAAAACATATCGAAAATTTTTTTTTGTCAACATTTGCCATGTAGTTTAAAGATCTTTTAAATGTGTTTGCTTTTCTGTATGTGAAGGCGAATTCTATGGAAATCTGTGAATAAATATCCTTTCCTTCTTTTTTTCAGGAAAATGCTGATATCAGCATTTTTGTTGAGATTCAAGGTTAATTATCTCAAAAAAATGCGCAGCTACCCCCATTTTTCTTTGTGGATTCCAATAGCCCTTGCAAAGATCTACTTTTCCCGTGTGGCCCTTACCTGGCGCAAAAACCTTTGTATTTAGTAGGCACCGTCCGTAACCCAAGTTTTCCATTTGACTCCAACTGGTTCATTTTCACAGTTCTGGGGGAAGCCGATGCACATTGCTTCTGTTTTCGCAACGTTAAAAACAATCAAGTAATACAAACAAAGCTTCTTTCATGCTCTACCACTTCCTGCGTGCTTTACTCCTTCCTGCGTGCTTTACAACAGAACAGAGCACACTCGAGGCTTCTTTATATGTTAAATATTTTTGAATTTTTGGCACCTTTATACTATTCCCCCCATTGAAGACTGTAGTTAAGACCGTTGAAAGCTTGTGGTTTTTTTTATATGTGTAGCTATTTACTTTAATTAGCTTGACTTCTTTCATTGATGAATACTTTTAACAGAACGACTGGAGTTTTGTTTCATATCTGGTCAGACTGATTTTATAGTACAAGCTGGCAAATGCTAGTCATGGAATTTGGGCTGTTGTCACTGGGAAGATTTTCTGGTTCTCTATTCATGAAACACTTTGTCATTGACCTGAGCCCACAGGAACAAACTGTTTTGATCCTCCAAGTAAAATCATGGACTGGAATGAATTTATTCCCATTTGCATTGTGGGTACCTTCTGCTGATCCTTGAGTGACATGAAACAACCTCTGAATCTGCACTTAATCAGGAGCCCATGATTCATTGGCTCCTGACCTAATCAACAAGCAGGAAAGATTGCCATTTCCAAGAATTTTGTCAGTTTTTCAAAATGCCCACATATTGCCAAAAACATGCTCAATACCAAAAAATTTGAGAGGCTTTTAGTGGCTTTTGCTATCTTTGTTACACTGTATGAGGGGTACATTGTATAACTGTAAAAATGCTCCCCATATTGAAAAACGAACATCTGCAGCATTGTCTTTTCAGTGTGTCTCTAACTCCTCCAGCTTATTCCAGTTCTTCTTTGATAAGTGTGTTGTTTATTTGGATATCGATGCAGCATTTAATTTTCATGGGAAAAGATAACCTCCTACTGCCGTAGTGACTGTGTGAAGCATTTCCAATCCATGATAAAATTAGTTTTCATTGTTCCAATATGTGTATTACCATTGCGACCTGTTTTTTTACTTCCTTTAGCAGGTTAACTGGGCAGTCTTCTCAATAAATACAATAGAATATATACATTAAGTGCTATGTTTTGTTTAGGATTACTATCAATCCAAACCATGATAATTCACTTTTTGTATCTACAATACGATTCTGACTTATAGATTGAAGTTGATACTGCTCATTTCAAAGGAAATTTCCCTGCTTCTTGTGTTATAGAAGGTAAGATTGACATAAGCCATGTACAGAAATGATCTCTACTCTTTCTGCTTTAAGGAGAAGGGAACCTCTGCACACTGTGAGCTACTTTAATTAGTTCCTTTCTTGCATAAGGAAACTTTGTCAGGGATATTAACAGTATGTGTTGTCGGAAATGTTATTTATGTAATACTGAAATTCCCAAAATGCCCTGTTTTTTGTTCTCAAAGCAGTTCATGCTGACCAGAAGTGAAGCACACACAGGTCGCCGTAAATCAAATATGCAGTAAAGCACCTGACTCTGCCTTGAGTGCTTTTATCAATGCTTGGGATATCTCATAAAGGATTTTCTTTATGTGTATTTCAAATCACTCTGAATAGTCTGTAATATACAGATTTACCCAAGCCCAAAAGTGGAGCTCCCATAAACTACAATACTAATCACTTACAATAGCATAAAAATCTCAACAACAGATGGCCAACTAAAAGAAATCTTAAAGAAACTGCATTTAAAATTGATTATCATTCAAGATAAAGCCAAGAAATGCATTTAGAAGCAAAAAAATGTCCAAAATTTTAAAATCTGTGGTACTTGTTCAAGTTTTAAAAATGTGCTCTTTCAGCTTGCAAGTCATATGGCCCCTTGGATTCCAACCATAACAGAAAGAATTTTAGCAGTCTAAAAAGCAATTGAAGTGCCATATGCATATCCACCTTATGTTGAATTTAAGGTTATATTTTGCTTTTTTCGCTCTGAATTGCCAGTAAAAAGCTCAAAACATGTTTCTGCTCCACAACAAAGCAAACAACTTTGTCTCACTTAGCAATAATTTTGTCTTCAGTACAAAAAATGGCAAAAGGTTGATTTCAGGTCAACAGACGATATTAAAGACGCTGTTTTTTAAGAAACAGTTAAAAACAATGTTGATTTCACTAGAATGCATGACTGAGCCGGTGTATCTAAAATACTGGTAGCTGGTAACTGGTAACTGGTAAGTGGTCAAAGGAATTTGGTTAGGTAGGACCAAAGCGCATTATTTCCAATCAATTTACAAAAACTTTTAAATTCCAACAAAAAATAACATAACAATATTACATTCACAGTTAACTTTGAACAAAGCAAAATTAAACAGATTCCATTCATTGAGTTCCATGTTAAACTTTCACGTTTTTCCCTTGACAGTTGAATCTAATTTAGTCCAGTTTGGATGCTTTCAAGAACTAAACAGTGCTGAACTATAAATAGTTTGGTGAAGTTTTCAAGATCCTTGCATGATTGCATCATTCATGTGTCTACTCTTATTGATGATAGAAATCAGCCAATCAGCGTGCGAAAATTCACTCAGTTATTGTAAAATAGGGTTTTGCAGTTATCAAATGTGAAATAAATACCACAAAACGTATAAAGCGACTTTTCATTCTCTTTATTGACAAAATCAAATTACAGTTTTACGGCCGTAGTTTGTCGATCGTTCCTTGTGGTTTTGTACCGACGTAAATATGATAAAAAAAAATGAATTGATGCAATTTTTCACAGCAAAAAATGTCAGCACGAATTGATTTCCTACAAGTGACAAACGTCGCTCATTCGAAGCCATTCCTTGATTTTGTTGGCTACATACGCTGCATAAATACGAGCGACTTAGGGCAAGTGTGATGCTACATTTGTGCTTTTCTTATCATTTCAGTTTTTTTTCTTTTCCTCTGATGAACTTTTCCGTAAATACTGTCCATTTTGGTGAATTTATTTTGTTTGGCGGTAAGTTCTTATGGGAAAAGAGACCATTCTTTACTCTTTCTGTAGCTTGAGGGTGGTAAAGGATATTTTTGTGACCCGTGATCAACCCTTTTTAGGCATAATTGAATGTTGAGAAAAAAACCAATACGTAGACAGGTTACTCTGAAGTTAAGCCGACACTTATTTGTTTCAATGGCAATGTGTTTATAAAACTTACCTTGTAGTCGACACTCATTTCTTATAGGGTGCAGTCAGCGACAACCGTTCCAATATTGACGTGCACAGAATCGACACAGAAATATTCAGCGCCATGCGATCTTATTACAACCCTGGTGAAATATGACCACCCACTACTATTTACCTTTGTATATTAAATTTCAGCTACTAGTATTTTAGACACGCCGCCGCAGAGCTCATTTCACTTTTAAACAAAACACTTATATGGTGATTTCATGTCAACGGGAAAGCTCAGAGATGTTGATTTCACTTTAAAAAAATACACATACATGTTGATTTCACGTCAAAAGGTGATGGCAAAGATGCTTTTTCACTTAACCCATTGACGCCTGAATGAAATTGCCCACGACCCACCCCTAATTCCTTGGCATTTTTTGGAATATTTCAGAGCGAGCGAAAGCACGGAAATAAACCGTATGCGCAATAACCACAGACACAAGATCAGATTTCAAGACATCGTTTATTTAAAGTTGAATAAATGAAGGGCCAAAATATTTTAAAAAACAATTACAAGAAATTAACTATTATTTTCTTTACTGCACAACAAAGTGTTCCACAGAAGTTGAGAAAATTGAATATGCAAAAATGAGTTAATTGTTGATTTAGGAGGACAAAAACGAAACCAAATACAACAGAATTTCATTCTTGTACTATAAACGGCTAACATTAGAGAAAACAACGAAAAATGAAAGCGAAGCACTCGTGTAAAAATCAATCTAAAATAAGAAATCGAGAAATTTCTTCACTGCGTGACGAATGGCTAACGAACGGATGAGAAACGGATGTTCAAATACTGTTCAAACAGCCACAGAAAAATTTCGAACAGATTCTGTAAATGTTCAAACGGCACTGGAAAAATTTCAAACAGATGATGCCAGCCATTCGAACTGCTAAAGAAACATTTGGAACATATGATTCCAGCATTCAAACGGCCGAAGGAAAGGGTTCGTATTGAACGAATGGTTATGAACAGCTCAGCAGATAAAATGTGGGAAATCTTGATGTTTTGATAAAGGATGTGTTTTTGCTCCCCTTTTGTAGGTCTATGGCTGGAATTCTTATTACACACTACTTCATTGTTGCTTTCAAAACTTGACAAAACTTAGCAATGGACACCAAAAGCTTTTAACAGAATAGAACGGGCAATAATTGTTTTCCATCACAGACCTGAATCTGTCTCTTTGCAAATGTGTGGAAATTTGCATACCAATCGTCGACCCATTATTCGTGACCTGTAACGCAAGTTGTTGATCTCAAGTTGTTGAGATCAAGCACACTCCAACAAAACTCAATAAAAAACAATCACATTGTCTTTTTTCAACATCTCTCACAGTAGAGCACCAAGTTTATTTTAATATTATGTCCTGTCTGTCTTTTGGTAATACCTCGTCAATCGATTTGATTCATTGTAATATTCCGGATTTGAGTTTTCTAAGGAGATAGAAAGGACGTCTTTTCTAATGGCCCTTTAGAGTCTGACTTTCAAGTTTTCAAAGTTTGTTTAGTTCAGTTAGCTGAGGTGCAGAGTGTAAAATGGCGAGCAGAAAAATAGGGGAGAGGCGCATTCTCTCACTGCGCTCCTCCCCTAGTTTTTCGCTTGCTGTTATTCCCGCTGCATCGAACCAACTGAACGCTTGGAATAGGCTATTTTCCTCTGTACTGAAAATGCAAATACACGGTTTTAGTGTTGTTTTCAAAGTGTGGCACCGAAATTTATAGGAGAAAGCATTTAAATCATGTCAAATAATTTAAGTGCAAACCTTTAAGGCGTTTTCACTTGTTTGGAGATTTTGTCTATGCACGGCTAAACTTTCCAAAGACACGAATCACTGTGCTTCAACAACTACAATTGAAAGGCGCATATGCTAGAATATGGAACGCCAGAACTGTCTTATGATACTTTTTTTTATTATATTGGGTGGTTATGTCATTATATTTAGTACTTATGTTATTATATTCAGTGATTA